CATAACCTTAATGGCCACTAAAAATAAAATTACAGGCTACACTCCTTTAAAAGATGTAGAATTAGTCACTGTCAATAGGGACATAGATGAGAAAACTATAGCCAAGAAAAAGGAAATAATCCAAGAAGAACATGAAGCATTCAGAGGAAGGATCGGTAAAAGGAAGGCTAGAGTGCTTGAGGAGGAGCCTATGAAGGCTAGTTACATGCTTAGAATAGAAATATTTCTTTTCCTTGTAAAGATATAAAATTTTCATATTTTAGTATTTATATGAAATATGTCTTTTGTTTGGCTAAAGGATGAGAGAGAGGCATTCTTGAAAAGGAAACTAGAAATAAAAATTTAGAGAACTTATATGCAAGAACTTTTACAAATTAACTTATGAAGAAACTAATTTTAATTTTTCTTCTTATCCAGACAAACCTTTGATACTCAAAAGATAGTTATCGACTAATTGGTGAGCCGTGAGTTCCAATTTGCATGTATACCTTGCACAGGACACCTTTATAAATTGTAGACAATGTGTTAATTTGTAATAATTAATGTCGTAAAATGCTGGATACTATTTAAAAAAGTTAGTTTCATTCCTGATTAAAGTTTAGGGTTAGTTGTATTTTCAATCATCAGTCCCTCTATCATAGCCAATATATATGACTTTGGTTCTCGAATACTTTTTTCCTCAAATTCAATTTTTTAATGTTTTTAATCACTGAAATAAAATCAAATCCTTCCGTTAATTTCTCTCTTCCTAAAACCCTTAAATTCTTGCCATTCACTCAAACAATACATAAACCAAAACAATTAAAGTGTTGTTCACGATTAGAAACCCAAACTTTCCCCGTTTAAAAACCGTGACTTCAAATATTACAAATCCTTCAAATTTGATAAAATCTGAAATCTTCAATGTTTTTTAAACCAGACTGATAATTGATACAGACAAGACACTAATTCAAAGTTTAATGGTTCAACAGTGATCAAACAAGTATTAATAAAATAACAATAATTATTAAATAATTCATAAAATAATATTAAATAATAAAATATCATAATTTTATAACCCAAGAATCTGTAATAAAATATAGTTTCACAAGTTCTTAATATTCGAAGTACATATAGAAGTCGAAAACATATATAACATAATACTTAAACTTAAATTTCAAAATTAAATAACAATATTAATTCACAGTAACAAGTTTACATATGAGGACTGACAACCCATTTTTTTTATTTACATATGAGGACTGATAACATAATAATATTTAATATCTTACTATTATTTTCTATACTGTTAATAAAGGAGATATTGGGTTATGTAACCCTTTTTTGGTGTAAAAAATTTCTTGCTATTTTATCCATCATATTCAATAACTATTTTTCTATTTTTTATTTTATAATTATAACAGGTAACCGTTTTCATAATCATTTTTTTTTAAATTGTAGACCATTTTTAAAATTTATAATTTTATTTTTAATATGTTAGCCTATTTTAATGGTCAATTATACTGAGTATTAATAAAAAGATGGGTTTTTAATTGTAAAAATGTATTTTTCCTTTTTAAAAAGTGGACATAAAGGGGCAAGATCGTGTTTCCACTGGTATTAATAAAAAGAGCTGGTAAGTGATTGTTTTTCCGAAAGTTATTATTAAGACATATTTTTGCTCTACATTTATAATCTTCTAAAACTATATATTATGTTATGTGGACCCTTTTTAACCGTTTTTTAATGTCATCTGATAGAAAAAACTAAAATTATCACAGTTTTAAGAAAAATCGGTAATTATGATTTATATATTTAAAAAATAGTAAAATATATGAGAAAGAAAAAAATACGATACAATCAGTGAAAAAAGAGTGGGTACATTTAAAAGGTAGAGAGAAACTAAATAAAATTGTAAAAAATTAATTATACAAAATATTGTGAACATAAAGACACTTTGGCAACTGGGTCTCCAATAGTTTAGAATAAAAAACAAAAGCTAACACTATATAACATAAAATAATAAGATATAAAAAAGTAAAAAGTAATATAAATGAAAAAATTGACAGTTTATTATAATAAAACTATGTATACCTATTTGTAATTTTTACCAACTATGTTAGATTATTTAGATATAAAATATTTTATAATAATTTCTAAAATTCAAAAATTAAAAAAATAACAATACCAGTTCAAACTTGTTTTCTACACCAGTTTTGGTTATGTATCGGTCAACCCATCCTTAAACCCTCCAGGTTTTCTTAATTAACAGAGTGAGCACACGTTTCCCAATCTGACTAATTGATCTGGGCAACCCAGTCTATCCAGTTTTAATAACTTTGCTAACTTAACATATTTTATTCATCATCTTCTTAGACCCGTATTATGTGCAGAAAATAAAGACTTCAGAGTTTTAGGTGAGCAGAAATTAGGAGTGATAAAATGGGTCACTCCATCAAAGTTAAGACAAGCTACACCTTAAACAATAGACCAAAACAGACTAATTTGGTCATTCCTAACAAAAATTGACAAAAGGACATGCATCATGAATATGCTAATTTTAAAAACCAATATTAAATCCGGTAAAAAAAATTACTATAAGATCAAGATTGCACATTAATTAACAAAAAGAAATGTATTTAAAATTAGACTAGGCACTAAACGGGGAAGATATGAGTTTCGGAATTTAAAATTCAACTAAGATCCAATCAGATTTAATAAAATAATATTTTTATAATATAATAAATTTATTATTAATAACAATATTTTGATAAATAGATAAAAATAATAAAGGTTATTATCATACTCACCGTTAGTTACAATAAATGTTACGAATATAAAATGCATTAATACGTGATAGATAGATAATAGTTAAATTAGATAAAAACACAATTAAATAACTATTGTTTAAAGTTAACATGACTCATGTGAGATTAAAAAAAAAACTGAAAAATATTATTTCTTTTATGAAAAAATTGTATTTAAAAAAATAAAAATTTTGATCTTTTTTTCACCAAACCTATTCGACTCAATTTTTTTATACCAATTTAATTAAAATCTAGTTATTTGAAAGCAACAAGTTTCTAGGCTGGTCCCGGTTGACGCGGTCAGACCCATTTTTAAAACAGTGATCAAAAGGTACATCAAGAAAACAGTTCAAAAACTTCAATGATTTGTTTTAGTTGTGCTTATATGGGTCAAACATACTAGTCTAACACTGCTGAGTGTCTACATGGATGTAACGTTCCGTTTCATAGGGACAAGAATGTTATTAAAGAATATCAAAGTTCTTAATAAACAAACCAATATTATGCTATCTTCTAAAGCAAGAACTTCTTATTCAAAAAAACATTTCAAATATGAAGTGAACACAGTAGAGTTCTAAGGCCAGTAAGGACTCACCTGCAGTAATTCCTTCAGCCCCATTTGTTTGGGTTGTCCATTTAGAATGCTTAAAAGGAATCAAACAATAAAATATGCTCAAATTCAGACATGAATTTTGTGTAGAGTAAAAAAAAATCATATATAAAAATCATCAAAAAGAACAAAACGATAGGATGAACAAAATTTGTTTGAATTCAGATTATATAACAAGAACCAGCTATGAATTTGGTAAATATCTCTTTGCTGATATTGACATTAATGAATAATAGAGTGCTGTATGCTCCAATAATGAGATACCAGAATCAGTAAGTGAAATATTATCTCTCCCTCTCTATATATATACACACATATATATACTAAATTTCATTAGTTGCACAACCTTCAATCCTTCATTAAATGATATAATAACAAAACTTTGTCTTCAAAAGTGGAAAACTAAATAATATATTGGAGAAAATTGCACTCACTTTTAGAGATGGAAAAATGGGTCAGTCTATCCCGTTTTGGCCCACTCCGTCTCTAGCCCATCAAAAATAAGGAATGGGTTGGTTCGTCATAGTTATGGACTACAAACTTCAGTCCGTCACGCCAATAAATTTTTTTATTTAAATTTTTTTATGTTTTTTTTTTGTTAAATATATCTTTAATTATATGAATAATTTTTAAGTGTTTATTTATTAATTAATATTTATATTAGATAAATTAAAAAAATTATTATACTTATGTGTTAAAAAAAACTAATTAAAATCAATATTTTAAACTTAATTGATTAATATTTATAATATATTTATATATTTCAATAACATAATACAAAAAAATATAATATTTTTAATTATAATTCTTTAATATATAAATATTTTTTAAAGTAGGTCAACGAGTCAACCCATCTCGCCCGCCAAGTTGGCAGACTAGGCAAGACGGGCCAAACCAGGCTAACAGACTAAAACCATCGACCTGCCCCACCATCTTTTAGGCAGGCTGCCTAGCCCATTTTGTCATCTCAACTCACTTCCCTTGAGATCTTGCTAAACAACACTCACCCTCTAATTTTAAAATTGATACTCACCTCCCTTGTGTTTTTAACCAAGTGATAAAGAGATCCCTTATTTTATTTAGATTTAAACGTATATTAAATTTTATGTACATATAATAATATGTTAACAAATTTAACCATAAATTTTACAACTACTTATTCATTTTTATATTAAAGTAATATTTCCACAAAAATATAGCTTTTCATATTTTCATAAAAAAATTTATGATTAGGTTATAATTCTTTTGAATTTGCTAATATATAATTGATAAGCACTCAATTATTTGGAGAACCCACCCTCAAAAGCTAGCTCTTAAGGATAGAGTACCATGCACATAACTACCCCACTAAGCATTCCATACTAAGAGTTGATGGCTACTTTCAATCTATGCACTTCACTCATCGCCCTCCTTGGTCAAAAACCCTTATTGGAGATCTCACATCAACAAGAATTATGGCTAAATTAGAGTATATATAAGGGGTTGCATATCTCTCCTTATAAATCAATTTTGTCTGATTGAGTTAGTTTAAAATTCACTCTCATATGGTATCAAAGTTAGTCTTTGCATGTTTTGTTAAGCTTATCGCATTGCCCATTATCGGACTACTCACGAACCACCTATAAATATTTAGTCCCAGGTTAGAGATGTTTATTCCTCGTGAGGGGATGTGTTAGAGATCTAATATCGCATAAAGATATGGTCAAGTTATGAATGAATGCAAACCTCATCTTACAAATCAATTTTGTAATGTATTAGGCTTCATGTCCATTTTCTAAGAACTTTCTATTTGTCAAAGCCCTTCATAGGCAGTCCTTCCACTAGCGCTAATAACAATTGACAAACACTAAGGTACTCTGCAAACCCACCCCCTTAAAAAAAGCTAGCTATTAAAGAGGGAGAACCAAGCACTTAAGGGCTCCACTAAGAGAGAGCTTATCAATTATGTAACAATTTCAAAAAGGTATATTCTAACATAATTATAAATTACAAATATAAAAATGTATATTTCTGGTAAAAACATTGTTTTAATATAAAAGTAAATAAGTAATTCATGAATCAAGGTTAGAGAGGCTTTTTCTAAGGTTAAAAGGGAAGAATCAAGGAGGAAGATTAAGCTTCACACTCATGAACCATGCATAATGGTTCATGAATCTGAAAGCTCAGCACTTGTGACTAATGGAGTTACTTCACAAGTTGATAGAGGAAAAAAGTCATGGTGTGATCATTGTACAAAACCAAGTCCTTATCTTTAATATGGTTCCTGCATCTTCAGTACAGATTCAAAGTGTTTGATGCTTCCACAGATGACACCACCTTGAGCTTGGAGGAAGGGAGAGTATACCACTATTTCCTGTACAAGCTAACAATGTGATAACTGTCACAAGTTAGTTTGAGTTCCTTCTGCCATAAGCTTTAGTTATGGCGCTTTAGTAGTTAGTAGCTTGATCCGTTATAAGTTAGTTCAAGTTCTCTTTGTATGAATACTGGTTTCTGTCACAATTTATTGTAAATTTTCTCAATTCGATAAGATTCACAATCTATTTTACATGTTTCTTTTTGGACTAAAATTTTTTGGCACACAAGTGTTTGACCAAAAATACAAGTTCTATGCCAGTAAGATCGCAGGCCTCCTAGTAGGTCTAGCAAGAGCAAAATATTTCTAAAATATATTTATTTATCAAAATTCAAAATAGATATAAAGATAAAATATCAATCAAACATCAGAATTGTCACCAGGAGGAAGTATCAGTCACCAGAGCATTTTAAATAATACATTCAACATTTCAAAATATTCATAATTGTGTAAACTACAAACAACTTACCCCACCATATTACAGCTAAATGTAGATTGCAGAGATGTTAAGCGATAAAGATTATTCAGAACAATCAATGGATCTGATCCCCGCTTCAGCTGCACAGTAAAAGAGATTCATCATAGTGACCAGCTCAACAGTTTCTTATCCTTTTCCTATTTTTCTGTTTCTGTATGTGTCTAGTTAGTAAGATTACAGTGGAGTACAGTCATATTTATATATTCTACCTCAATGACTATACGCATTCCAGATCGATCACTCTCATCCCGAATATCACTTATACCATCTAAACTCTGTTAACAAAGAACAAAAGCAAATTAGGTTACAAAATATTCAAGCTAAATGCAACATGCAAATTAAACAAATATTCATTTGGAATAAAAAAAAAAATACTTTTTAACACTGGAAACATAAAATTAAAAAACACACAAATAACATATGATTGCATATAATCCAAACGACATAAGTATGAGAGAAACAGCTTACAAGCTTTCTGCTTGTTCAATTCAACATAAAAACATTTTAATATTTAACCAACCAAATCATGTTCCCACACATAAGTCATAATCACCAACAGAATCACTTTTCAAATATATAATATAAGAAAAAAATAACTTGGTTAAAAGCTTCTAGAGGCAGTATAGCAACAGGAATCAAAGAATTTGTTGGAGATAGAAATATTTCCGAGATAAGAGCTTCTTAAATGTTTATTTCTCCAAATGGTCTAGATAATTAGTATAGATAAGTTCAATGCATCTTGGGAAGATCATATATTGTTCTTTTGTAAATTATGTTGACTTGCCATTGACAATCGTTGTAATACTCTTGAATTATTCAAGAGGTCCAGAGTGGAAAATATATTCATCATACACATTCAGAAAATTTATCTCTTTTTCTCACAGAAATCAGAATTTTTCACATGGGCTGACGATGTTTTTAGTCCTTGCATATCGGGAAATGTTCACTTTTAGTCCCTAAAAGACATCACCTTTTGGTCCCACACTTGTAGAAAACTATCTTGTGTGATCGCTATTTCCATAAATGAAGAGCATAACATGAGTTTAATTAAACTGTTTCAAAACATTTCTTATATAATCTGTGTTCAAATTTATTCAAATTCAAAAACCTAGTATGGTTGTTGACCACTAGAATCATTAATGCTACCCAGAAATGTCATAGCATATCCAATAACAACCACTATAAATCTCCAGGAGAGAGAATGAGATCATGACAATAAACAGGGAGATATTGTTAAGAATATGGACCAGAAAATTTTCCAAAATTTTAGGTAATACCTAACAACTTGAATTTAAAAACTAACCGGACATCATCCAAATGTCTACTTCTCTAGAAGTTTCCAAACACCCCCTAACGAACACTCCGCTATCCATCAAATTATATCATTAACTATCCAAATGCAAGCAAGCATGCAACTTCAAGAACATAAAAATAAATTGAAATTTACAGTATTTTGAAAAAAATCTTGCTGGAACCCAGTAATACCTTGTTTTCTACAAGTTCAGCAATCTTCTCAACTAAAGTTGCTTTGTTGGTCTGGTAAGGAATCTACTCCGATCATAAAATAAAATCTGTATTCAATTATCTACAGCAAATAAAACAAGTATATCTAACTTTCTAATGTCAAATCCAGTAGAATCTAGAGTGTCACCTCTTTTATGATTATTGCGGTCCGCTTTGACTTTGAATCAAGTAATTCAATATCAGTTTTCCCTCTGATAATAACACGTCCTCGACCAGTACGGTATGCATCTAAGATCCTTAAGAAAAAATGAGCATATATCAAATCATAAATCACATGGTACAACAACTTTAAAAAACAATACAAAGTAAAAGGAAAGAAAAAAAAAAAAACACTAGAAAAATTGATAAAATTAACTAATGACGCAGCAAGTAGTTATAAATGTTTGAAGCCATAAAGAATGATAAAAAAGAAGGTAACACAGGAAATAAGGGTCAAATTCAATGTAGCAAACCTAGGATAACTTTGGTTTATCTAAAATTCTCATATTCTACTATGAAATCAACAATTCTTAATTACAAAAGTCCAAGCGACGAAGGTACAGATACCATATACCATCACCAAAACATAACCTTGATGTTGTCACATATAAGTAAGGAGGAATACTAGCAACACAATATCTAATACATTTTTATTGGTCAAAATATATTAAAAACTACAAAATCATGAGTGGGATTCATAATCTATGGAGTGGGACCCATACATTGTGTTTTCCAACAAATTTTCAGCCAATAGAAAAGTGTGATGTCAGCTTTTCTATGTTAGTAAATAAGTCATAAATTAAACTGCCACCATCAACAATTTTAAGTGTAAAATTACACACGCCATAAAATGGCCAGGAAACATTGAAAAAGTTATATAAACAAAAATCGTGTAGGAGTTACACTCACCCAAGATTTCCCATAATCAGCCCTCCTGTTGGAAAGTCAGGTCCAGGCATATATTCAAGCAATTCTTGCAACTACAACACACCAAAATTAATCCGGCATTGACATTAAAGAAGGAAGAAGAATATTAAATTCACAAAACACAAAAAGGATTTCTCTCCCACTAATTGAGAAATTTATTACTTATTAACTCTGAATTGCATCTGTGTACTCTATTAGAATCTCAGGAGGATATTATGGAGAAAGAATGAGGTCAGAATGTCCAAGTGAGGAATTGGAGAAAGAGATGTGATGCCCCTCAAAAGTCCTGTGCGATGTGTATTCTTTCATGTGTCAGTTTTGTCTTGGACAGGTTTAAGAACAAATTACACTGAAATCTCACATAGCTTTCAGTAGCAAGGTGACTTACAATATATTCTAAAAACAAAAAAAACAAACAGTCATTGTTTCTAAAATGCACGCTTGGCACTAATTTCATGGATTTTTTTATAAAATTTGCAAAACATTTAACTGACAACGTCAGGGTAAGAAATAAATAATAGGCAAATACATTTGAAGAAAGTCTACTTTTGCAGTGAGTTTAGTTCAATGAGAAAGGCAAGGGAGGGATTTTTTTTTTAAATTACCTAGTTTAGTTCAATATTTTGGCGAGAAGAGGAGGGGAAATATGGGTGCTAAATCCTTCCCCTCCTGTTTTTTTCTCCCATTCAATAATGAGGAATTTGGATGGACAATGGTTTATCATTTTTGTGTTGTATATGAACAGTTGAGTCAATAGGACATCTGTTTTTAATTATCAATCTTAAGAGGTTCCGTCTTTAGAGAGAGCGAGAGATTTGGCACTCACAGTAGCTTCTGGATTATGTATCAACACACAGAGCACATCTACAACTTCCGCAAGATTATGAGGAGGAATATTCGTTGCCATGCCAACCTGATAAAGATAAAAATGGACGGATACACATCAATAGATGCGTGATAGGTCAATAACCACATATCACAACAGATCTTGTTTTGAAAGGGAATCCAAAATCACCGCAATGCCAGAAGAACCATTCAACAATACGGTTGGAAGGCGAGCTGGTAGAAGTGATGGTTCTTTTTGGGAATTGTCAAAATTTGGGACAAAATCAACCTGCAATCAGGAAATAAAAAATATAAAGTGCACATCAATTAAGGATGTTAAATTAATTAAAAAAAAAAAAAAAAAAAAAAAAACAGAAATCACAGTGCAAAGAACAGCAGTCAAACTGTATCTTGCTCTAGATCAGCCAACAACATTGCTTCAGTCAGATCCTGCAAATTAAGACCGAGAACCAAATAAAATACTTCAAAATTTCTGCCAATTTGTCAAATCAATTCCATAAACAAGGAAGAACAGAAAAAACAAATTCAGAACTCAAAACAACTACCTTAGATCAACCAAAACTTCATGCTTATGTACTAACTCCAAGGTTGTCAAAATCAAGATTTTAAGTGGAATGACGAGGGGTTTACAAAATCGTAAATCATGATATTATCACGGATAGGAAATTCTATTTTACATAAACATGAGATACATGACCATATTTCATTTTTATAAAATATACATGAAATCTTTTAAAAAATATCCTTAAAAATAAAATATGATGAATACAGTGAAATTTAATAAATTGAATTAGGATACATTAATCTTATATTATTATTTAATAACAAATTATTGTAACAAATTTAACTTGTCTTATCCATACAAAGCATTTACAAAATGAAACAAATTGAATTAAAAGCAATTCACATTTAATGTACTTTAATTTGCTTGAAAATATGAAATTCCTTCACCGAACATAGTCTAAATGTTAGATATTTTGAATTTCAAAATTGCCCAAAATTAACACATATGAGTATAAAATTACCTCTCTTCTAGCATGACTAAAAACTAGTGTTAAACTTGCATAAACAACTATTAATTGGAGAACACATTACTTGAAATAATTTATTTAGGATTTGATCCAGTGACCAAAGACACTGATACATTGTATTTATAGAAAAAGGGGTACAATAGAGAGGATATGGATCTCGGTCCAAACCCTTAATTCTAGTATAAGGAATATTGAAAAAGAATACTAAAAGATACATAAATAACAGATTTCAATACTCCCCCTCAAGCTAGGGCATACAAATTGTATATACCAAGTTTGGAACAAATTAATTGAATCCTAAATCCTCTTAAGGATTTAGTTAAAATATCTGTCAGTTGCTCATTGGAGCTTACAAATTCAGTTAAAAATTCCTTAGGCAACAACTTCTCTCTAACAAAAAGACAATCAATCTCAATATGTTTTGTTCTTTCGTGAAAGACTAGGTTTGAGGCAATAAGGAGAGTTGTTTGATTATCACACAATAACTTCATTTGCCCAATATCATAAAATTTTAAATCTTGAAGGAGTTGTTTGATCCACACAAGTTCACATGTAGCAAGTATTATAAATTTATACTCAGCTTTTGCACTAGATCAAACAACAACACTTTGTTTTTTACTCGTCCAAGAAATCAAATTTGCTCCAATAAAGATATAATACCTAGTAGTCGACCTTCTAACAATTGGAACACCAGCTTAGTCTGCATCACAATAACCAAGAATTTTAGTATTACCTTTATCTTCATATAACAACCCTTGTCTTGAGGCCCCTTTAATATATCTCAGAATGTGAAGGCATCCCAATGATCAACACAAGAATTTTGCATGAATTGGCTAACTACTCCAACTGCATAAGAAAGATCTGGTCTGGTAATAATAAGATAAATGAGTTTACCATCCAACCTCCTATAGCTTTTTGGATCTGACAACTTTTCTCCTTCATCCTTCATCAATTTCTAGTTAGGGTCCATTGGGGTATCAATGGGCTTATAATTTGTTAAACTAATCTCCTTCAGAATATCAAAAGCATACTTCCTTTGAGAGATGATCACACCTTCCTTTGACTGAGTCACTTCAATACCAAGAAAATATTTCAATTGACTAAGATCTTTGGTTTGGAAGTGAGCAAACAGATGAATAAAACTGCCTGTAATAACAATATCATCAACATAAATCATAAGATACACACACTTGCCTGAAGAGGAATGACAATTAAACATTGAGTGGTCTGCTTCCCTCCTTTTCATGCAAAACAACTGCACAACATAACTAAATTTTTCAAACCAAGCTCAGGGTGACTGCTTCAAACCATAAAGAGATCGGTGTAACTTGCACACTAAATCAGACTCCCCCTGAGTAACAAAGTCAGGAGGTTGTTCCATATAAATCTCTTCCTCAAGGTCACCATAAAGAAAGACATTTTTAATGTCCAGTTGGTGAAGGGGCCAATGAAGAATCGCATCCATAGCAAGGAAAAGACAAAAAGTGAAAATCTTAGCTACTGGAGAGAAAGTATCACAGTAGTCGAAGCCATAAATTTGAGTGTAACCTTTAGCTACTAAATGAGCTTTATGACGATCCACTTTACCATTATTATCAACTTTAACTACATAGACCCACCTACAACCCACAACCTTTTTGCCAGGAGAAAGAGGAATAAGCTCCCAAGTGCCATTGTGCTCAAGTGCTTGCATTTCATCAATCATAACTTGTTGCCATCCAAGGTGATCAAGTGCCTCATGAATATTATTAGGAATAGACGTATCAGCCAAAGAGACAATAAAAGAAGAATATGAAGGAGACAGACGATGGTAACTTAAAAAATTATAAATAGGAAAAGGATTGTCAGTGGAACGAATACCTTTTCTAAGTGCAATAGGCCAGCCAGAATCAGAAGTGGGAGATAATGTTGATTGATCCATGGTATGAGAAATTGATGGAGACAGATCTAAATCCCAATTATCTGTAGGAATTGGTAAAGGTGTAGGAGGTGAATCATTATGACCTGTAGACTGAAGTAGGAAAGAAATAGGTATAGGTAGAACTTGTTAAATTGATAAACCATCTTCTATTGGGGAAGAAAAGAAGTGTGTTTCCTCAAAGAATATGATATCAGCAGACATATAATACCTTTTGAAAGATGGAGAATAACATTTATACCCTTTCTGAAGGCGATAGTACCCCAATAAAACACAGTTAATGGCCTTAGCACTTAGTTTATCAAGACCTAGAGATACATTATGAACAAAACAAGTACAACCAAATACACAAGGAGATACATGGAAAAGAGGATTATCTGGGAAGATAAGAGAATGTGGAATATGATTTTTAAGAGAGGAAGATGGCATCTGATTAATCAAAAAACAAGCAATCAAAACTGCATCTCCCCAATGATGAACAGGGACATTAACATTCAACATTAGAGAGCATGCAATCTCAATAAGGGGTCTATTTTTCCTTTCTGCAATGTCATTTTACTGTGGGGTGTGAGGACAAGTTTAGAGTTTAGGGTTTAGGATTTCCTAATATGTTTTCCTAATTGACAAAATTCACACTCTAAAACCTGAAGATATTGAAGATAAGAAGTGATCATTTTCAACTTAGATAGACTTGGATGACACAGACGATCATGCAAAAGTTTAAGGGTTGGAGAAACCAGACAAGACACTGAAGGACTTGGTTTTAGATAGTACAGACCACGTGATTCATGTCTTTCTCCAATCAGACAACCCGTACCATATTCTTAAATAACAAAATAATTAGAAGTAAAAGTTACAGAACAATTCAAAGAACGAGTAACTTAACTTAGAAAGATAAAGTTATAAGGACAATTAGGAATGAAAAGAATAGAACTTAAATTTAGAGATGGGGTTAAAGGAACTTGGCCAAAACCTTGAGATTTCACTTTGGATCCATTAGCTATAGTGATTAAATGAGGAATTTTAGAATATGACATGAAGGAAAACATGAATTATTACTAGATATATGATCAGAGGCACCTGAATCAAGAATTCATGGGTTCTGACATTCCACAAATTGAGAAATGCATGCAATTGAAACAGGCATTAAAGAGGATTGACCCTGACTGTTAAACTTTCCATATTTGAACTTCAAAAACTCCTGATACTCATAAAAAATCTTCATATCTGGCTTCTCCAATTTAGATGCATGGGCAATCTTATCAGGAAAGCCATGCAAAAAATAACAATTTTTTCTACGTGTGTCGCATCCTATTACAATAGGTGCATTAAGGACGAACTTTCGAACTACCACGTCCACCTCGATTGTTGCATCCTCCCCCTCAACCTTGGGGAGCAACCATAGCAAAAGTTTTAACAGTCTCCACCTGATTCTCATCAACCATGAGATTAGGAACCCAAATAACCTAGTGACAAGATTATCCATTGATGGAACATGATCGCTAACTAGGATTTGATCACGCATGTGATCAAAGTCAGAATGCAGACTTCTAAAAATTAGTACCATATATAGCTTATCGAATTTGGTGTTTACCTCCTCTAAGCTATTTGCAAAAAGAAACAATTTTACTTCTTCCACAGCAGTCCTAGCTTTTGCGATGTGAGTCATCATGTAGTGATTGGTCTGCTTAAGTGACGTCACTCTTTGAGTTGCATCAAAGAGACAATGAATATCATTAGAAAAAATGTCTTGAGCCTTTTTCCAAAAAGAAGAACAGGTTTTGAATGATCTTAGAAGCTCGAGAACATCCAGTTTCACATACTGCCATAAGATTGCACAAAGTTGGAAGTCTATTTTCTCCCAATGAGATCTTTCTACAGCAGAAATAGAGTCTATATCCTTCTCCAAATAATCGTGATGCCCTTGACCGAGAAACCACAACTCAACTTAAGCAGATTTGGATAAGTACTTTTTTCCAGATGAGCCTGAAACTAGTTATGATGGGAGTAGCAGAGAAGGTGAAGGCAGAGGATGAGGCCATCTGAACTAGAAAAGATGAATAAAGCCAACAAATAAGGTTACCCACGAGACTTTTCACACAGATCTCAAACCAAAAAATTAAGGGCACCACTGGACTCAGAGGACGTTGGCAATCAAACAGAGGTGGTCGACCTTGATTCCGGCCACTGGAAGGCGGCTAACGACGGTCGGAGCTGACAATGGGGACCGGAAATCAAAGCGGGATCTTACCCGCTCTGATACCAACTTGAGAAAACTTATTTAGGGTTTGATACAGTGACCAAAAGCATTGATACATTGTATTTATAGAAAAATGGGTACAATAGAGAGGATATGAGCCTCAGCCCAAATCTTTAACTCTAGTCTAAGGAACATTGAAAAAAAAAAAAATATTAAAAGATACATGAACAACAGATCTCAACAACATTATATCAACACTAATTGATATAAACGCAAAAGTGATATAATTAGACAAATAGTGTTTAGATCAAGAAAAATTAATCAGATGTTAAACACCTACATCCAGTCTGCACTCTGTGTAACGCATGGCGGCAGGCGGGTCAGCATCAATTGATCCAAAATTTCCATGACCTTGGATCAAAGGACTGCGTAAGGAAAAATCCTAAAAGAAATTGAAAAGCATGTGAATTGTTACAACAGGACAAAAAATAATTAGTGAAAATTTGTAAGACAGAATCCAAATAAAGCATCACTTAAATACAGCAATTGCACATTAAATCCCAAAATATACTGCGTAAAATAATACCCATGATTCCTTCAAAAGGGACGGATGGGAAATAGCACTATTAGTGAAAGGACCTTTATCACTTCCCATTCAATAGAACACAGGCTGATTGAGAAATCTATATAATGCCAAAATACCATGAGCAAGTCTCAGGTACAATTACGTCCTAATTCAACATGATCAAGGAAAATTAAAAAATTAGGATATTGCAATTATTATAATTAAACTATTACACATAAACAAACATTTCAAATACATGTTTTAGTAAATAGATATGAAGCCTTCAATGGAGCATCTAATACATTGGAATTGGATTCAACTGATATCAATGGCAGAGGGCCAAATATCTGTCACACAAAAAAGTCATTGCAGCCTATGGCATCAGCCATATTGGGCATCTTCACAAATTGTCTACGTTGGTTGGCAAATAATCTGCCACGCCATTCCACCATGGCATCACCATTAAACAACATTAACTTCCATATAAGTTTACTACAATCGCAAAAAAGCCAAGATCATAATCATATAAGAAAAAAATCTAACCACAGGGTATGATCCATCTCACACTCCCTCAAGAATAATAAATAATAATAAGCAACAGCACTCATTCACTGGACAAAACCTTGTAACCCATGATACACAATAAAATGAGCAAATGTATACCTGGGCCATTCGAACCAAGGAATCATACACCGCAGTGTCTCCATGAGGGTGGAATTTTCCCAATACCTGCAATAACAGCATCATGTAGTATCACATAAAAAAAATAAACAATGGATAATAACTTGATAAGTAGCCCAAACATGCTTCTACACAAACATATTTGATGCTTCAACAAATTTTAGAATTTAACATAAATTGCTACATATTCACCTCTCCAACAACTCTTGCACACTTCTTGAATGGTTTTTTGGATGAGAGGCCAAGCTCGTGCATTGCAAATCTGCATTTAAAAAATAGTAGCTTACTCTGAAATTAAATCTCAATTAGAACTTTCAAAATTTTACAACTCAAAAATTTTTAAGAGTGGGGTGATTCACACTATGTGTATTCAGTATCAACCTTAATTACTTTTGATTACATTTCCTAAATTTTACTCACTCGCTCAACTAAATTTGTGTTCAAATAAGTGGCTAGTAAAAAATTGAAAAGAACAATTAGAAAATAGGAACGCAAAGAGTATTATCCTAGATTTTGTTACTGCTACAGCTGAAACTATAAGTGACCATCACAAAAGCTTCACATAATGAAAAGATGTAATGATAGGTTTAAACTAAAGATGAATCAATGTAACATTTACTACAAATACAATTCATGAGAGAACGGACAAAGATGTTCTGATAGAGAAAATTCACCACAAGTGACAAAGGCCATCTTAAACTGCATTAATATTGTAAACCAATAATTCACAATAACATTGTAAACAAAATGTCAAACACTCAAGTGATAGACTATGCAAGTGACAAATTTAATACCAAACTCCAAACATAATCCATCAGAGATAAAAACGAATACAAGCAAAAAGACATTTAAAGACGATATTCTTCCCCCACATGAAACTAAATTGCTTCTGGTTTTTTATCAGTTGTTATTAAAACACTCGAGACTGAAAAATATGATTAAGGAGTTTAAGTGATTGATTATCTATTAGCTGATCCATTTATTTTTAAGAGAAAGTACACATATTACAAAGAGTATAGAGCCTAAAGACTACACCTAGGTGTCAATAGCTATTAAGAAAACAACTTCTAGTGAAGATAGATTAACCTATCTCAACAATTTATCATATAAAATAATCTAATCTAACAAAAACCAAAGCAGTTACAAAAATGTTTTAGTAAGGAAAAGAAAAATTGAAAATTAAAAGGACAATTGCACGTTTCCAACACCAAGACTACATGTCCAATTAAAAAATTATGTTTTGTTAGCTTGAACATTTAAGCTAGTAGCTTTAGGCAAATGGTACACTTGAACCAATGGACACAGATTAATATAATTCAAAATAATCTATTTTTAACTTTTACATAAGTTAGCTTATTTATGATATTGACAAATTAAACAAGCAAAACCTCAAATGAACTAATTTCAAATTCTCCAGTAACCCTCGACTAACAAACCATAAATAGATTTCATAAAAACACTGAAACCCAAAAAGAAAAAAAATTTTGAAATGTCCCTTTTATTTTATAAATTAAGAGAAAAATCAAACAGGCAAATCCTCAAATGAACTAATTTCAAAATCTCCAGTAACCCTCGATTAACAAACCACAAACGCTTTAATAAAAATCACTTCCACAAAATAAATAGTTTTTAAAATTCCCATTTATTAAATTATAAATTAAGAGAAAAAACGAATCAAATGAACGAATTTACAATTCTCAACCCTAAACCATTAGGGTCTATTTGGACGATTGTATCTACAAGATAAAAATATAAAAAATAAATGTAATTGATTTCTCTTGAAACTAGTGTACACATAAGTTAAAAATAAACATTCGGAGAAAGTAAGAGAGATTTTACAAATTAGTTTATACATAAGTTAATTAACTTATTTTGAAGTTAATTCTCTTTTGCTGCTTAATTTTCTCTTCTAAAAATCCATCGACCAAGCAGACCTTAAACCCCAAGAGCTTCAATAAAAAGACAATGACAGCATAAAAAATATGAAAAAAAAAAACTCGTAACCGAAGACTGACAGAATCCTTCGATGCACGGGCTTCAAGCCGTCACGAACATCGGGCAAGGCGCGACCGAGCAGCACCGACATCGCATACGCCATGTAAGCCTCAGTGGCCTCTTTGTGAAGCTCCGTTGGCACGACCCTACCCTCACTTCCGTTACCGCCATCCGTCGGGGCCGTCACGCTGCCGTTCCCGTCGCTGGGCCTAACGGCCTGGACCGCTGAGGCCGGGCGGCGAGAGGCGCGAGCAGAGAGGAGACGGAGCTGGGAGGGGGTGTGGCGGAGGCGCGAGGGTTGAAGGAAGAGGGAGTGACGGAGACGCGAGGGTTGGAGAAAGGGAGAGAGGCGGAGGACACGGAGCGCCGAGGAGAGTGCCATGGAAGGGGGAGGGTTAATGCAATCGAGAAGGTTGGGGTTGTGGAAATGGAGAGGAGAGGGTTTCATAGGTTTGCAGTTGGAACCATTTGAGAGTGAGAGTGAGAGTGAGGGTGTGGGGTTTTAGGGATTTTGGATGAGGCCAGAGAGGGAAAAGCTCTAAAACCCTTTTCTACTCTTTTCTCACACTCACACTCACACTCACACTCACACTGCGCGCCAAGTTTAGGAATTGAAAGTAGATTTAATTTACGAGATAGAAAACAGAGATAGGTTTAAGAGTATGAATGGATGTTGAAACACCACGAACAATTTGTGTTATCTGATTTTTAGCCTTTTTTTTATTTTCACAATTTCTGATATATTAAAGAGTTTGGTAGATAATTAAGGAAGTTTGAGAATAAAATTTATATAATCTATCATGTAATAAGCATAACAAAAAAGACAAAAAAAGATACTATTAAAATTTTAAAGAATAATAAGTAAAATATTAATATTAAATGTCTTAATCTATAATGCTTAGTATAGACATTATTAATTGTAATATTGGAATAAGTATTGTGCATTGAAATATACATGAGGTAATTTGAAATACTCATGCACATTTAGGATATACTTATAAACCGATTTTTTTTTTATGTATTATTTTCACTCTCTCAAAAGAATACTTGCAATAAAAATAGCAATCCAACGTATCACTCGACACCAGAAAATAAAAAATAATAATAATAATTATGAAAAGGTTAGAATTGTTCTGATACAACAATTGTAATATCATATTGATTGTAATATTTATAATTATTAAATTATAAAAAACATCATAAATTTAAATAAATAACAAATTATTTTATAAAAAATATATTTTTATTTAGATTACAAAATATAAAAATATGATCCAACAAATAATAATAATAATACTTATTAAATTAAATTTATATCTGATTTTTTCAGAATGTATTAATTAATATAAATGTTAAAATTTAATTTATTAATATATATTAAATTTAACTTGTTAAAAAAAATATGATAAAAGTAAGACATTAACTGTTCCAGAAAAATCTATCTGCTTTCTTCCAGGAACCGTGCAATCATAGATCTTCCTTTGTCCTCTCGTCACTTCGGTTCAGGCAGTGTATCACCGTTATCCACTCTGCCCAAATCATGTTGGCCTCCTCACTCCTACCTTCCTCGAGGCTCCACCCTTCGTATTTCGTCCCACCCATCAACGTCGCAGAAACTCACCCGAGAAACAGAGTCGCAATCTTTTCCAAATCCACCTCCAAACTCGCTTTCGTTGCCAGGACCGCCAATAACGCCCATGATGGCGCCGTTGACGCAACCTCTCCGCTGGTAGGTTGCAGATACATTTTGAACATCCCCTTTCTTTGTTATTGATTAATTTTGTTTTTGTGGTGCTTCTAGGGAAGTTTGATTTGTTTTTATTTTATGCATGTGATTACTGATTGAAATTGTTTGGGGTTGAAAATTAATCATTAGGTTTAAGATAGAAGAGCCTCATTGAGTGTGTTTGGGAACTTATTTTTACAGAAAGATACTTTCAAAATTGAAATTTATTGGAAATAAAAAAATCAGGAGAGAGAGACATTGTATAAGTTGTGATTTCCAAACCGATAAATTTCACCCAGCGAGAGAATGTGTTTCAAGATTTTTCTTATCGACAATTGCGACGGATATGATCACATATACTCCAGCCCATAGTCTTGATGAACTGGTCAAAATCACGGTTGCAAGTGGTTTGTTTAACCGTTGACGGTTTTTAATCCTTGTTCAAACGGTTGTTGATGTAGTGTGTCTAGATGCATGTTACATCACTACTGACTCATGATAAGAATTGATTAAAAGAATAATCTTTTTGTGGAGCAAAGCCAATAGAACATTTTCTGAAGGACTAAAATAAAAATGTGTCATTTTTTCTGTAACTAAAAACATATTTAATCAAAAAGTATTTCTCAAAATACGAAAAAAAAGAGGTTTGCAAACATGTGCATATTTTCAGATTATAGCTGAGTTTGATTATTGGTTGTACCCATCTTGTGTTGACGGTAAATTTTGATAACTTTGGATATTTGTCTGGGATGTTATTCTGTGTGACCATAGAGTGGGGTTGGAATTTAGGCAGCAATCGTGATAGATTTTCTGATAACCTCTCTTGGCCTTGGCTGTGTTTATGCGTGAGTAAGACAACAAAACATTTCATGTGACGTCCAATAGTTGAACTTTGCTTTCAGGGCATTGATGAAGTAACAAGTACATGTTCTGACCTCGGTGATGGTTATGTGGCCTTGTTTATTCGTATGTTAGGCCTTGATCGTGATCCTCAGGATAGAGAACAAGCTATAATTGCTCTCTGGAAATATTCACTTGGTGGAAAGAAGTGTATAGACACTATAATGCAATTTCCTGGTTGTATTAATCTCGTTGTGAACCTCCTCAGATCAGAGTCTAGTTCAGCAAGTGAGGCTGCTGCAGGCCTTTTGCGTTCACTATCTTCAGTCAATCTATATAGAAATTCTGTAGCTGATAGTGGAGCAATAGAAGAGATAAACAGATTGCTGAGGCAATCTCCCTTGCCTCCTGAGGTATGGAATTTGGCATACAGCAACTTGGGTTGTGTAGAAAATAGATTATATGGAACCCTTTTTCTGCAGGTAAAGGAGGAGAGTTTGAGTACATTGTGGAATTTATCTGTTGATGAGAAGCTCTGGATTAAAATTTCAAAGACTGACATTCTGCCTGTAGCTATTAAATACCTTGACGATGAGGATATTAAAGTGAAGGAGGCTGCAGGGGGCATTTTGGCAAATTTAGCATTGAGCCATGTTAACCACAACATTATGGTTGAAGCAGGTGTTATACCAAAATTGGTGAGGCTTTCTTTGAGTTTAATAATTGGAACTTGGATATTTTTGCAATAAAAAACAATTCGTGCATACTGTGCTGGTTTATATGCTGATCTATGAACGGTATGTAAATCCTCTTTAGATGGATTCTGCTAGAGATAAATCAACAATTTCTGCTTTTGCGCCTAAAACACTAAGAGTTTGGATGATATAGCTCTTGAGAATGTAGCCTCATTGATCAAGTGGTGAGGAGTCCCATTCCAAATCACCGTGGATCCTCAAATTATCTATTAACTGTATGTGATTCATATTGAGATGAATTATGCTAGGGGTGAACAATAATTCATGAATTTTCACTAAGCTTATAGGATGATATAGTTCTCGGCATGGAAGTCTCTTTGACAAATTGGTATGGAGTCCCATTACATGTCACCCTGGTTCTTCTCCTGCTCCTTAAAAACATGACTTTATTTTTTAGATAAAAAAAAAAAAGAAGACACAAGTTACCTTGTATTTGGATTTTTTGGAAGAACATTTGGTCCTATAAAAGGAGAATTTGTGTTTGTGGAAATTATTGAATAATTGTATCAAAGATAAAAAAACAGAGGGCTCAGCCTTTTATGTAAACACTAAATAATTAATTACTATTATTACGTTTCTCATTAGTATAGGAGAATATGTTTATACTGTTCACTCTCTGTCTTTATTTTTATTTTAATCTTTTTTGTCTTTTTCATTCAATCCATAGCTTTCAACATAAACAATGGTAGTAATGCCTTCCAATCAAAGTTGAGTGGAAAAAGAAGGAAGAGTTCGAAGGAATGACATTTTGAAATGTAATTGATATTTTGCATTGTGTTTAGCAAAGTTCCTTTGTCTTGATGCTTACTATCGCCAAGAATGTGATTATGTTTAATCTTACTTCAGGCAAAGTTCTTAACATCTAATCCTGAAGGATCTAAAGTTATTAGGAAGGAAGCAAAGAATGCATTGCTAGAACTTTTTAAGGACAAGGATTATAGAATTCTTGTTATTGAGGAAGGTCTGGTCCCTGTGCCATTAATTGGTGCTGCGGCATATAAGTCATTCACCCCAGGCTTACATTTGTGGCCCACATTACCTGATGGTACAGAAATTGAAAGGACTTCTAGACAGCCATCCAAATATGGAGCTTCAGAATTACTTCTTGGATTAAATATTGATGACAAGAATGCTAACTTAGAGAAAGCAAAGGTCAGTGCAATTGTTGGACGAACTCAACAGCAATTCCTTGCTCGTGTTGGGGCTTTAGAAATGGAAGAAAAGACTATACCTCACTCTGGTTGCTCAAATGATGCGAGGTTTACACTTTTACCTTGGACGGATGGTGTTGCTCGATTAGCACTGATACTAGAACTGGAAGATAAGTCTGCAATAATAAAGGCCGCAGAATCAATTGCAACTGCATCTATCAATGAACATATGCGTATTGCATTCAGGGAGGCAGGAGTAATTAAGCATTTAATAAGGCTTTTGAACTGTGATGATGATGCAGTCCAGTTGGCAGTAATACAAGCTTTGGAAAGGCTGTCTGTTAGGTAAAACCATTAAAATATAGTTCACAGTTTTATATTTGCAGCTTTATGTTAGTATTCTTGATACTGAGATGAACTGCCACTTCTTTTCCATAATATGAATCAGTTCATTGCTATTTAAAGTCTGCGGTATGTTAGAAATCCCTTACTAAAAAGGCTGTAAAGACTATCTTCCACTGCAAACCATGAAATTCAGCATATGATTGTTATAGTTAGTGATAAATTATCGTTCTATCAAAGACTGAAAATGTGTCAAATTGAATTTCAGTGTAAACACCTACAAGGTGAAAGATAGACCTGTGGTAAAGTATGTATTTTTTGAGATAGCATATAGGAAATATGTATGGAAAAGAAGAATTTAGGAGAAAGCCAAAAGTAGCATCATATGGATACTGATTTATTGTGAAAAGAGCAAAGCACGGCTTTGAGAGGATAAGCCTTGCGTGTGGTAATTTGAGCTGTTGAAATAATTGAAAGTTGTGGTCTCATAGTTTAAATTGTATAGAGAGGATTGTTTGTAATTGTGTGATTTGTACACACATCAATACTATAATATATAATGAAGAAGAGATACAATAATAAGAAACAAAAGTGATACTTAATAATGAGAAATATTTGTTAAGATATTCCCTATCAAACCGAATTAGATATCCATATTTAATGTAATCAAATCAAATCTCTTAACAAATTATAATCATTACTTTGTGATTTTCTGGATGCAGCAATATAGTTTGCCGGGTAATCGAAGCCGAAGGGATTTTAGGTCTTTTAGTTAGTATTTTGAAAAGCTCAGGGATAGCTGGAACTATGGTGGAAAAGGTATTATTATTTTTGTGTTAAGTAAGTCTTGGCAAGGTTCTGGAACATAAGGATAAAAATTGAATGAAGTTTTACTGATGGTTTGACATGCATCTACAGTCTTTGAGCTTATTATCTCGGATATTAGACCTGAGTAAACAAATGCAATTGAAGGTTTGTATTGCACATCTTGCAGGAAGTTTAGAGTTGATTTATTTTTTCTCATTGATTGTCAAGTACATTGATTCTTTTCAGTTTTATGATGGACCAGTTAATGGATCTGAAAAGGCATTTAGTGGAGCAAAAAGCGACTGTGTTCCAACTGGGTTTAGTAGCACTGAACAAAGTGTATCAAAAACAAACACAAGGTTACTAAAGGGAGCACCAGATTTCCTAGAAGGGTCCTGGATTTGTTGAAGTTCAACTATTGAGTTCAATATTGATCTTCATATTGTTTGATCCAGCAACAGGTCATTAGTGTTCTACATAGTGGTAGTTAGCATTGACTTTTTATTTGTTTAAATTTGCAGGAATGATATACTGGATTCTGTTTTCATTGCACACCTTGTTGAGATTCTGAAGTCCTCTCCTCCCAATTTACAAGAAAAAGCTGCATCGGTGCTTGAGTTTGTGGCATTGACTGACCCAACTCTGGCCCCATTTTTATCTTTGGATATTGAATCTGGTCTCAATTCTGCTTTTCAGCAAAAGATTTTGAAAATTTCAGGTAAACAATATCTGAACGTGCGTTGTTACAAGTAATATTGTTTTCAGCTGTTTGGTTTGTCTTTTATTTTTGTGTGTGGATGTATATTAAGTACATCAAAATGACCAAATATGTTGTCATCGATCTGTGCAAACCTACGTCACATCCTTCTTCAGATTGTACTGTGTGTAGATCAAAATAAAATACTCATAATTTTTTATGCGTACGCAGCTGACGTAGAATCTGATGCAGAAGATCAGTTTTATGAAGCATATGCAATTGAATTTGAAGAAGCTGGCGTCGCAATATCTGCAGCATCGCGGTTATTGACAACACTACTCGATTGCGAGGAGTTCCGCAACAAAATAAATCCCCACCATTTCATTGATTTGCTTCGCGGAATCCTCAGGTCCAATATTCCTCTCCGCAACAAAGATTGGGTAGCTGCTTGCCTAGTTAAACTAAGATCTCTCTCTGGCTCCATTTCCAGTCTCTATCCAATCAATGTGGAAGTCACACTTTATGAGACAATCCCAAGACTTCTAGAACAGATCAAAACTTCGTTCTCCCCAGAAGCACAAGAAACTGCTGTTGTAGAACTTAATAGAATAATATCTGAAGGACTGGTAGATTCCACAGAAGAAGCTATTATTTCTGAGGGGGCAATATGTTCTTTGGTGAAGCTCATTGAAGAAGGTAGTGATAGGGCTGTTGAAGCAAGCTTGGCAATACTGTATAATCTGAGCGTCGACAGTGAGAACCATTCAGCACTAGTGGCTACTGGAGCAGTGCAGGTCCTAAAAAGAATTGTTCTTTCAAACAGACCACACTGGGAACGGGCACTTCTTTTACTCAGGATTTTGCAACCGTGATGAGTTCAAGGGTGAAAATCTTGAAACAGTTTCGTCGTTGTATAATTTACTTTTTTGGGTAAATTGTATAATCTATAATACTTTAAATGTGTAAAAGCAAATCTTCACCCTTTCTTATAGACAGAACGTATTTGAAACTATTCTTAGTTTTGCTATTTTAAATTTTATAAGGCATGAATTTGTTTCTATTTTTAAAATTCATGCATTGAATAAAAACATTTATTCTTTTATTTATGCCTAATCTAAATGAGAAAAATAGTTAAATATTAGTTAATATACACGTCGCTGATAAAACTATTTGAAAACTTATGCTTTCATCAGTACTCTTTAATTGACTATATTATATTATATTATATATATATATATATATATATATATATATATATATATTGGACTTCAAAAATTTATCTTCGTTAATTAATTTCATATAATAAATAGAGGAAAAAAGGAAAAAAGAAACGTTAAAGATATTAATTGTGTTTTGTACCTAACATAGGAGATATTTTAAGAGTGGCGTGGTCTTATCCTTTTATATATGATAAGGTTTGCAGTAAAATTGAAAGAAGACCATGTTTTGCTTGTGCGGCGTAACCAAACCCATTGTGGGAAGTGCCAACATTCCCCAAAACAGCGATTCGGAGCAAACTATACCTCCGCTTCCAGTTCCAAAGCCGCCAATAAAGCGTTTTCCCAGCAGAAATAGGGTTCGGAATGGGCCTCCAAAACCCTCCGTTATGCAAATGCAACGCATTCTTGGCGCTGGAAGCTTCAGAGACACCGAACCCGCTCCTCTACCGTACGTATCTCTTCACTCAGTCTTCGCCAAGCAACCGCTTTATAGTTGTTGGAAATGTAATTGATTTTGATGTACAGAGGGTCGGACATGAGAAAGACGGTCATGGACTTGTTCTTGGGACAAGCTATTGAAGGGAGGGTGCAGAAGAAGATCAGGGAAACAGGAGAGTGGCTCGATGCTAATGCCGAGTCCAAAATTACTTCTTCCAGTATATCCTCCTACTTCCAGTTTTTAGCACTTACATAATCATTTTATGTTTCATTTTAGCCATTTTTATATCATGTTAATGTTACGTTCTTGATCATTCTTTTCTTTCCTTTTTCTTCTGCTGTAGGAAAAACAATATTGTTGATTATGGTTCAATGGATGCTACCAATTTGGACAATATTACTCCTGATAGCATCTGGAGCCATCAAATTGCCATTCAGCAACCCTTTTCTTGATGATTTGCTCATGTGAGCATTGGTCATTCACTTTCTGCATATTTTTTAGATGTCCATATATCATTCTCAGAAGTTATATTTTCTCTCTTTCTAGCACCATAATTCTCAGAATTTCCATAACCCCAGTTTCAATTACGTGAACAATATGTTTTATTGCTCTACTTGTGAAGAAGGTGGAAAATATCAGTTTCTTGTTCATGGTTTATTTGTATTTGGAGCAAGTTTGTCATAACATGTATTTTATCTAATACTAAATTTCATGCACATTAGTTTCTTTTGAAGATGGGTAATTTCCACCTATTTATCCACCGGTGGTTTTCGTGAATTTATTTGCAGAGTAATTTTTCATGGATATGTCCATAATTAAATTATTTATAAAATAAATAAAAAATTGGTAAATTATTTGTTTCTCTGAATGTTTCGGGATATTTATAAATTTTACATTAGTGTCTCCAGGTTAGGGATAATTCATTTAATTCTCTCTTCTCTAAACTTACATAGGATTCAAGTTCAAGTTCTAAAATCACTTAATAATTGATCTTACAATATTAATAAATGTATGTATGTCCAAAAAAATCATTTTATCAACGAATTAATTAATTACCTCCTATATAATAATGATATTTTTGACGCAATTATTGATATTGTTGATGAAAAAGGACTCAATTGTGTAACATTGGAAATATAAATGATCAAATTATGGAAATAAGACATCAAAATAAAAGTCCCTAGTGTTTTATATAATTTAATCATTCCAAAATTTCATAACAACAATTATACATAAGACTTTAATCTTTACATGTTAGATACATTGATAAATTTTTTTATAAAAAATATGTTATATATATATATATATATATATATATATATATATATATATATATATATATATATTACATAAACATCTGTATTGTTAGAGTGAAATCGCATGTTTTTAATTCATTATTATAATAATAATTTACTATGAATATATGTGTAGTTATTATCTTCCCACTTAACTAATTTACTGAATGTTTATTTCGAGTAAACTTAATGTCTAAAATCAGTTAGAAAAAGCATTATCCATTTTTTATGCCATGATTTTTCACTCATGTAAAGTTTTTTCTTGCGCATTTTTTTAATATAGTAATATTTATATGTAAAATGTATTATGTAGAAATTAAATATAAAATAAGAGCCAATATAATAACTATTTATAATAATAATAATAAAAAAGTAAGCAATTTTCACAACACATAGAATGAACAATTTGTTTGAGACCATATGAACGTCTAACTTAGTTGTATATCAACTTCCCTCTTGCATCCTTGATTACGTCATGACCTTTGACAATTTTCACATATTAAATTTTAGAGTATTTTTAATAGAAGTTGCTTAAAATAACTTTATATATAAATTTTTAAAATAAGTGAAAAATAATCATATAAATAATTTGATCTTCTTTTAAAAAAATTTGAATATGGTTAAAATAATGATTTTATTTATAACAACTCTTCTGACTTCTTTTCACTGAAAATGCTCTTGTTGCATGTTTGATTCCTCTCAAATACTATAATTCATAAGTTTAATTATTATTGACTTTTCTTTTTACAATAATCCCCAAGTCCCCAACCCATTTATCTAGATATATTTATATAATATAGTTAAAATATAAATATATTATGATCAAAATCATTGAATTAAATACAATAAAGAAAAAAAATTAAAATATTATTTAAATAATTAATAAGCCAGATTATTTACACAAAGAAAAACTTATTCACAATTATTATATATTATTTTAATGGTAATAAAAAATTATATTTTCATCCATAAAAACAAATACATGCGAAAGAGTTTATAATAATTGACAAATAAACTCAATTGATTTAAATTATTAATCAACATTTATTATATATATTTTAGAATGTTGAGAAACAGACTATTCACCAATATAACTTCACTTTAAAAAAAATGAAAACCTAAACATTGGTTATTTACTTAATTATTTTAATCATTAATATTTACTTATTTCAAATACCAAATTATTAATTATTAAAATAATGAGGGTGACGCACAGGCACAGCCAGTGAGGGCAGCCAAACGCCACCTTTTCATGCGGAGAGAAACGTTCCTTAGACCAACCAACTTTCGTTTCAGTTATTCTTTTGTTCTGATCGAACTCACACAAACGTCTTCACTCTCTCCTTTCATCCATTCATTCCACACAAAAATCAATCAAAGGTTTCAACTTTGAACAAAACCATGCCTACTCCTCAGAGTTGGAAAAAAGCCTATGGCGCTCTCAAAGACACCACCAAAGTCGGTCTCGCTCATGTCAGCAGCGACTATGCGGTATCATATCTCGATTTCAGTTTCAATTCCATTTTCGTTTTCGTTTTCATTTTCCTTTTTTCGTTCATTTGGCATATAGAATGTGATTCATGATCGTTTTATTTTTCTCCTCTTATTAGGACTTGGAAGTTGCCGTAGTCAAAGCCACCAACCACGTCGAGTGTCCTCCCAAAGAGAGACACCTTCGAAGTGCGTCACTCATAGTCATTATTTATTTTCTTACTTGTGGTTTCGAATTTCATCTGATTGTTTTTGTTAAATAATGAAACTGCCTTCGTTGTAGAAATTTTGCTCGCAACTTCTGCTGTACGGCCTAGAGCAGACGTTGCGTACTGCATTCATACGCTTTCGCGTCGGTTGGCCAAGACGCGAAACTGGACGGTATATTTTTTTTTTTTTTATTTGGTGATTTGAATGTTGTGACGACGTGAAATGATTGTGATTCTACTGCTTCTTAGAAAAATAACCAATAAAGGCTATAGGTGGGAAATGGATGATAGTTCTATTAGTAAGGGTGGAGGAGATTAAAGTAAACTATTAAGAGATAAACTTTAAAAGGACCTTGATCTAAGATGTGTCAAATTTTGCATAACATCATTTTTCTTCCTTGGGTTGTAAACGTGACGAGCTTCTTTTTCCACGATGTAGTTGTAATTGTGAAACTCAAAATCAATTAAATGTTGCATCAAATTTGAACTATTGGAATATTTAAATATTTGTTTTTGCTGGTTATTTTGAATTCATAATAACCTAATATAATATCTAATATACTTACTGCTCGCTGGGCCAAATAGATGATTTATATAATGGTTTTGGCGTTGTGCTTTGCAATATTGTTCTTATAAATTTTTATATCTATTTTTTTCTTAACTTTCAATAGTTCGTTCCTTTAGTCTAATTATATAGCTTATAGTTTTCTAATGGCTAAATATGCTTATATTTCAATTATTTTGGTCTTGTCAACAGGTGGCATTGAAAACATTAATTGTCATTCATAGGTTATTGAGAGAGGGTGATCCTACTCTTAGAGAAGAATTTCTTAATTTCTCAAGGAGGGGCCGCATACTCCAACTTTCTAACTTCAGAGATGATTCTAGCCCAATTGGTTAATTTTTAACCTTGTCTTTATATATTTGAGGTTTAATTTATCTGGAGGTCCCTTTACAGTCTTGAATATTTTCTGAGAAATTTCTTATTAAGTCTATTTAGATATAAAATCATTCATGAGCAGTCCACCTAGAAGTTTATGACTTTCCTCTAAACTCTTTTTAATTAATTTCAATACTCTTAATAGAGAAGCTAATCAAAATACACTCTTCTTTTAGCTTATTTTAGTAAGGGAAACTTCTGAATAATCTCTCATTTGATAAGAGCTTGAATAATAACTAAGATGTCTCTCATTTCAATAATAACCTTAGATGTCGTGTCTACATAGTACCGTTGCCTTTTTAACCATATGGTGAGGAGCTCGATCCTTTCTTTCTGCAGTCGTAGGGTCTAGCTAAAGGAGGGAAAGAAAAAACAAAGACTTTAAATAAGATGATATTGTGTAGATTGTGATGTGATAAAAAATACAAGAGACTAATTCTTATTTATGAAGAACTCAGGATAACAGATTTACGAAGTTATAGATGTGTAATTGGAAAGACGTTGCTGTTTTAAATGTCCAACTGCTACGCTATGAATTTACTGGTTTTAAATCACCTTGAAACTGCCAGTTAATTTCACGGAATCTGCCAATGAAAAGACAGCAAAGGGATGTTGGACTCGGTGGAAGATAATTCAGGGTTTGAGCAGCTGGAATTTGTCCACAATTAACAGGGAGGCAGAAGACAGTTGCTGGAGAGTGAAATTGGGTGAAATAGAGTATATCAGAGAGAACTGGGTAGTAAAATAGTAGCAGGACAGGTTGCAAAAAAGGGAACCGCTCTAATACCTATTCAAAATAAAGGGTTTAGGCAGGGAAGGTGAGAAAGAGAGAAAAATGATGTTGAGTAATATGATGTTGTGCTATTGACATGATGCAATATACAAAGTACTAAACGCTATTTAGATTAGTACTAGATTTCTCATCCTAATAATAATTAAATCGAATAGAGAACTAAACTAAGAAATATAGTGAAATATGAAACCACTATTAAGAGATCATATGAGATACTCTAGATAATTTTGATACAATCAACATATTGTGAGATATATTCTGGACATTTGTTGGTGGGTAATATGCAAATATCTATGTAAGCGTTCTTTGATATTTGAGATCTCTCTTGACTTTGATGAGTCCCCGGGACCCATCTAGCCCAAACTTCTTTGTATAAATAAAAATTTGAACTTTAACAGATAGGCTTGGCCTGTGCATAGTTTACACTTGAAGCCTAAATGGCTCTTAGGTGACAGGGTGTTTATGTTGTAAAATACTACTGTTCAAGCTTTAGGGGGAAGTTGGTCCTTTACTATTCTTATCATTATAAATTCCTAATGGTAAGTTAGAATTTGATATGTGAAAATTTTGAAGATATGGGGGATCCAGTAAATTTAGAATTCGTTCCTTTAATTTCACGAAATTTTGAATGGGTCCTTGGATTCTGCTTACTGTTAACAGTTCTTTAGCAGAACTACAGAAGGGAACCATTTAGAACCTTTTGAAATTTACAGACCCAATTGTTAACTTCCAAAGTATAAATACCTTAATCGAAATCCCCAATTATTATAGGGACATATAGATCAGTTTTTAACTATGTTTGAAGCTTTAACAAGTTATCTGAGATTTATGCTTTTGGTTAAATAGCTGAATTGCATAATTTGACTGTAGATGTCATTTGCTTGCAGCTTGGGATTGCTCTGCCTGGGTTCGTACTTATGCATTATATTTGGAAGAAAGACTTGAATGTTTCTGGATTCTGAAGTATGATATTGAAGCTGAGCGTCTAACTAAGCCTGTTGCTGGGCAAGAGAAGGTAATTTTCCCTCTCTCTAGGATAGAATAAGAGATTTATTGCGATTAAATGAATGGCAAGGTAATTTCATTAAGCTGTGATTATACTTTTGTGTGATATCCAATCCAATCAAGTAAAAGGCATCACATATATGACAGTTTTTGCATGGAAAAATGAATACAAAACCTTCCTTACCTCATTTAAATGTAAGGTATACAAGTGTATATTTTTATATGCATTTTATTGGTTGTTCTTTAGGTTCTCAGATCTGCATGACTGTTTTAAATATACAGAGAAGTTCTGTTTTAAATATACAGAGAAGTTTTTTTATATTAGTGTTGTATGTTGTTGATTTCTGCTAATAAGCTTATAGAATTCTTATTTAACATGAGACATGGCCATTTTGCTGGATATGATGGTAATTTATTTTATACTATCTTCTGTTGTATTTTCTCCACATTAGCACTTAATTTGATTCATGAACCTTGATATTTGACAAAGCAACTAGTTGTATCATGTTCTTTTGAGCTTTTTTCAATTATTATTAAATGAATAATTGGTGCTATGTCTTTTCCAAGTGATGCAGGACAAGTAAAGCCTTGACATATTGTTATTCTCACAAAATACAATAATGGAAATACATACACAGAAGAAAAATAATGTTTCTTTTTTTATCTTGTTACCCTGATCCAGTGAATGGTTTTTGGGTAAGGGAGGCTGCAATACCTATTAATATAAAATGGAAAAGTGAGGATTGAAAGGAGAGATTAGGACAGGGATGAGGTATTTAAATGAGAGAAGAAAAAGAATTACAGTATTAATCAAACAGAAAAATTGAAAATTTCATAATAACGTCTAAATGGCTATTGTAAGGGCCCTATTATACTAACCCTGTGGTGGTCAAAACTCAATTTAAAGTAGTTTTCATAATTCTTGAAATATGTGATTTGATCATGTGAACTATTTCTTTTTTTGAACTTTTCATGCCATTTTCCAAGCAGGGGCACAGCAGGACAAGGGACTTGAATAGTGAGGAACTATTGGAGCAATTGCCTGCTTTACAACAGCTGCTCTATTGCCTTGTTGGTTGTCGTGTAATAATCTGAACCCTGTGGATATTTATTGTTTTTTTCTATAGTCACTTCCTCTCTTTCTTTCTTCCAATATTGTTGTATTAGTATTGTATTTTGTTTTTAAATAATTGCTAACCAATTGTGCTGTGACTTTTCAGCCAGAAGGAGCAGCTGTTAGCAGCTATGTCATACAATTTGCCCTGGCCCTGGTAAGTACTGTTGCAATATTTTCAATAGGGCTTTCAAAAAGACTAGAAATAAAACTAAATTTTTTTTTGTAAAAACAATTTTCTAAGTGTGACATATGTATATCAGATTTCTATCAGTACTCTTACATAGCCCTAGCCTGGGGCGAATTCTGATACATTATTGTGCAGTCCACTGAAACGTAATTTGGTTATCTTTTTAAGTTGTGGAACACTTCCCCTTTTGTTTCTGTTTATGTGATTTATAGCTGTAGAAAACTAAGTTGTTGGGCTATGAATTTCAAGCATTAACTGGAAAAACATACACATACTAAACCATTTACTGCTTCCTTGAAAATTTGTGGTACTGGTAAAATCCTTCTGTGTTGGGTCCTTGGTAATGTGAGAACTGATTTTCAATCATCTTCATCTAATACATACTTTTACGAAAGGGACAAGTTTTATGGTGACAATTTGTTCGTACTGATTGCTCATTTGTAGTTGTAAATTCCCTTAATTTTACTCATCACCTTCCTGTGTTGTATACCTTTCAACTGAACCATTTGTTCGCTAATGTTGAAGTTATATGCTTAAAAATTCATATATTAGATGACTTTGGAATCTATAAGTTTTGCTATTGATGTGCTTCTTATGATCATTTTAGGTTCTAAAAGAAAGCTTTAAAATTTATTGTGCCATTAATGACGGCATTATCAATCTTGTTGATAAGGTAAACGGACATACATTACCTTTGTTATAGTATCAAATTTAAATAAAATCTCTCTGCAATATTTTTATGTGATAATTTCTTGAGCTCCTTGTAGTTTTTTGAGATGCCCAAACATGAAGCTATCAAAGCCTTTGATGTTTATAAACGTGCAGGCCAGCAGGTGATTATTTGTAGGCCACTAGGATTTTGTATATATTTTTTCATGATGCTTTAATGAGAGACCAGGGTGATTACAGGCAGAAAGTCTCTCTGATTTCTATGAAATATGCAAAAGATTGGAAATTGCTAGGAATTTTCAATTTCCTGTTTTAAGAGAGGTATATGTCTGTTATTGTATCAATTTATTGTTAACAATCTATATTTCATTTTTTAATTTTTTTTACTGCTCACATTTGGATATTTTAGCCTCCACAATCATTTCTTGTGACCATGGAAGACTACATAAAGGACGCACCGCGAGTGATTACGGTTTCAATTGAGCCATTAGTAAGTAATTCATTGCTTATAAACCCTAAATCCTAAATTGTTGGGATTTCTTCATCATTGGATTTTTTAGTAGATTCCAGACATCGTTGCATTATCTTCTATAAGGTTTAGCTTTTGGATTGGGTTCTAGATCATTAATACTCTTCTTTGTCAACAGTTACTGTTGACTTACAGACCAAATGATGTTCCCACAATAGAATACGATAAATTATCTGAAGAACAGGAGCCATCTGTGCCTGTTGTTGATGTTGCCTCAAATTATGAGCTTGCTCCTCCTCCTCCACCTCACAACGATTTTGAAACTGGAGACTTACTGGTGAAACTTTAAATCAAAGGTTCAGTTATGTCCGATTATATTTTCTACAACGTTCTTCACTCTTTTTCCTGGTTGCAGGGGTTGAATGACAGTACACCAGATGCATCCTTGATAGAAGAAAGAAGCGATCTTGCCCTAGCCATAGTCCCTACTGAAACTGGTGAGCTTTTGTTTATCAGCTTTAGTGAGGTTCGGTAGATGGTTTCTTATGTATGACTGTTTTGTGCACATGTACACCGCTTCAGATTCACGTGCTGCTCCAGCTACAGATTTTGATCCAACTGGATGGGAGCTTGCTCTAGTCTCCACTCCATGTACAGCTATTGCTTCAGTCAATGAAAGAGAATTGGTAGGTCCTTCGTATATTTTTACTGTGTTTAGTTCACCTTAAATTTTACTAGCTTCCTAATTCTTTTTTTTTTTAAATGATTCTCAGAACAAACATGGGCCTAGCATTCATTGACATTAGTATAAAATCAAAGTAATGAAATTGATAACATTCACTAAATTCAGTTGGATTTTAAATTGGTGTTATTTTAGACGGCAAGCAGAAAATTTTATTTAATTAAAAAATTACTTCATATTGGCTTAAGATTATTGTATCATACTGTTTTAGTTTTTGAATTTTATACTGCTGAATATTAAAAAAAAAATGCCTTCATGATTGATCAAATTATAGTGTTTCATGATTCAGCAGTTTGGTTGGATCATTGAAAATGACACCAATAGGAAATTATTTGTGGGAGTCATATATGATGTATTGCGGAAGTATAGGGTAGTGTCTACTTCTTACCTTTGTGATAATTTTGTGATACGTAGAATTTTTAGTACTGTTTCAGAAGACATAAATATAATTACCGGCGAGAATGACGGAGTATATTTTACTAAATTACTTAAGCTTGTTTATAATATCTGCTCTTGATGTTTTATTGCGTAACATCATTTTGTCAGGTTACACATGGTTTGGTTAAACAAAATCATTAGTTAATTGTTTGGTTATTCACATGCTATATTGTTTAATAAAAATGATTGACAGGAGTGTTTATGGATTTCTCATTGAATATCAGGATGGTAGATTGTCTTCTCTCAACCTTAACAGTTTGTATGATCAAGGAGCATATAGGTCTGCAAAACAAACTGTTTTTGCAGTTCCAGCCCCAAATCCATTTGAAGTGCAAGATCCTTTTGTTTTGTCAAGTGGCAACCCTCCCCCACCCACTGTACAAATTGGAGCAATTTCTCAACAGCATATAAATCCTTTCGCTCATCACCAACCATATCAGCCACTGCAGATGCGCCCAGCAAATCCCTTTGAGGATGCCGGATACGGGGCCTTTCCTGTGTATCCCGTTTCTCACCCTCTTAGTAACAATCCATTTGGAAGCACTGGCACGATATAGGAACACATTATTTTTAGAGATTCAATGTAAAGCTGGATTTTGTCAGATAGATATAGTTCCTAGAATGGAATGTAGGATTAAGATAACATGCTCATAATGTCAATCATTTTATAATAAGTCAGAATGGTGGGATTTTATTTTTCTCTGATTATATCTCCATTCAAATTCGTACATGCATACATATATACCTCTTGAATAGAGACGTATAACATAGACAGTTGCCACAAAAGAATCTTATTTTACATTCTTTTTTGGAGTAGAAATAGGAAACTGAGGATGCACAGCCTGGGGCTGTGATACTTTTTGCAGCAAAAATATCACTAATTCAGTGAAATAGTTACAATATAACATAGGCAGCACATTTAATTAAACCTCAAGTTTCGCACCCTCTTCTAATCTATATATACATTGCCTAATATATCATTCATCTTACACCTACTTTTAATTTCCACGTTGCATAATGTTGTTGTCTCATTAGTTGGATCAATTGTCACGCATCCTTGCTTACGGTGTAATTGTGTCATACTCGTTTTCCCGTGGAAGACTGATAAATATTTGGTCATTTCTAAACGATTCTGGCTGTTCTTCCGATTTTGCTAATAAGCATTTGCACCTTATCATGCATTTATATGACACTATATACACTACCTCCTCCTATTGATTGATATTTATCGAAATCACAATTTTTTGTGGTCCCACGTCCTATTTAATGAATTTCTCTAGTGTTTTTGTTGCTTTCCACAAATTTTAACCAACAAAAGAGTACTGTGCATAATAGAATTGATGAGCAAAATCAAGAAAAAAACTTGTTTAATAAGGAGGAAAACGATAGGCCAAGTTTGATTTTAAAAATATCTTAGTTGGTGCTAACGGGGATCAATTAAGTGATTCGGACCAAAGTGACCAAATATTAACTTATTGCTAAACATAAAAGACGAGAAAAGAAGAGTAAAATTGATAATAGATAAAAAAAATCATTAATTACAAAAAAAATTACAAAACTTTTATCTAAATCCAAGGAGAGAACATGATTTTGAACAGGAAGATTCAAAGTGGGAATAAGGAACGTGAGAAAGAACATTATATATTTTCAAGAAAATAAAAAGTAGTTTTTCATGTAATAAATACGTTGGATTTTAACAAGAACAACATAATTGTTTAAGGATGTGATTATTTTAAAATTGAATAAAAAATATTTTGATAAAAATAATCATTAAAAATAATTAATTAGTGAGTATTTATATTGGTCTTCGACTACCAATTTTACATTAAAACATATCTTCACGGACTGAGAAATTAATTTAATATATTTGATTATGAAATGGAAACTACATAGAAATAAAATTATTGATTGTATCTCTTAAATCCTTTGCTATGTTTGAAAATGGACAAAAGAATAGATAAAATACAATTTTCTCCATTCACCAAACCTGTATCACGGGTCTCAAGAATTTGAAAACTCTGATGAAAATCATCTTATGCAAATCATCAGTGGTCCGGTCCTCAATCCATGTTATGAATTCCCTAAACTCAGTCATTTTGATCCCAAACACAAATTTCAAGATAATGTCTGAAAAAAAAAATCATTTGACTCAAATCATATTTCTGTTCATTTTACTTTCTCACACCCAAAATAAAACAATCATTGCTCACTATTCATGTTATATTCTCTCTCATGCACATTACACAATACCCACGATACAATTTTGTCATCTTGTCCTAAAATTTTCTCTCTCAGAACCTCTTGCCCTCAGTCTCCTTTTGTACGTTACAAATTGATCAATTTTTTTTCTGAGTAAACTTTTCTTTGTACATATCAACAAGATTTACATGGCTACCAACAATTTTGCAACCATGTTGCATAGAAATACCAATAAAATCACTCTGGTTCTTGTCTATGCGATCCTTGAATGGATTCTGATCATCCTCCTCCTCCTAAATTCCATCTTTTCTTATCTGATCATGAAGTTTGTGGATTACTTTGGTCTTGAAAGGCCCTGCATATGGTGCACTAGGATTGATCACATCATAGAGCCTGAAAATAACAACTGTTCTTGCAGGGATCTTGTGTGTGAAGCTCACGCTTTTGAGATTTCCAAACTGGGTTTCTGCTTGAATCATCGAAAACTAGCTGAATCAGAAAGTATGTGTGAGAATTGCTCATCTTCGTGTCACCCAAATTTTGTGAACTTGTCTCAGAGTTTTGGCAACTTTCCGTGGATCCAGCTAAAGGGTATGATTCATGATGCTGATGATAACAGCAAGGTACTTGAGGATGGGATGCAGCCTTTCAGGTGTTCTTGCTGTAGTGACACTTTAGTTAGCAAGTTCTACCTGATAAGAGATAAGTCTTCTTCGAGGGTTTTGGATTGTACCCAGAAAAAGAATTTGATCACTGAAAGTGAGGTTGAGGCAGAGGTTGATGGAGGCCATCATCACTCAGATCATGGCAGAGATGATTTTGTGGTGTTTGATCCTCTTGAAGAAGAACAGAACACTGTAGAGAAAAGAGGAAGCGACACTGTTTATTATGTTGATGAGGGTTCAGGTAGACGAGGAAAGGAGGAAGATGATATAAGTGTTTGTTTTGGGCGGGATGGTAGCAAAGAAACTTTGTTTGGTGAAAACGACAAGGTGGATTTGGGCATAGGGAAAGGGCAAGAAGAACCAAATATAGAGGAAACTTTAAATGTCCCAGAGGATGATCAACCTTGTGAGGAGACCACCCATCAAATTTCTTGCTCTAATGAGAATACGGAACCGATTCCACCCGAACATTTGGAATTTGTCATTCATGGTAATGATTGCCTTTTGATTCCTGTTGAATTTGGTGACTGCTTTGCCACGGAAATCCAAAATCAACTTAGGTATAAGGTGGAGGATGACGAGCTTATTGGCGATGAAGATGTTATTTTGGATTTTGATTTTGATTTTGATTTAAATTCTAGTGCGGAATCTGAACCTGTTATTGAGAACTGGCACACTCCATTGCATACTGTGTCAGTGTCTTCAGGTCTACAGTGTACAAATATTCAAGGCCAATGGAGTTGAGTCAATTCCATTGAGGATTAGAGGGAAAAGACTAGAATCAATAGTAGAAGAAGAAAATTTGGAGCAAAACTGTCTAGAGGTGAAATTAGCTCGGACAACTGAAGACTCAAGTATCAGTGGTAATGTCGATGCAAACACGAAAAGAAGATATGGGGAGTTATGTTCAGTTGTACCTCAAGGTTGCAATCTTTTATTCATCAATATAATACTCTAGTCTTATTTTTTGCTCTATTTTTTTGGTTGAGCATACAATGTTCTAATAATACTTTTCTGTTCCTTCAGTGTTTGAAGATTCAACACAAATGCGCGATGATGAATTAGGAGAAGAAGTCTCAACTGAAAATCAAGATTTTCTTGTGGATTCAAATCAAGAAGTACAAGAAATCCCACCTTGTAGCACTACTACTACTTTTACTGTCCAAGAAGATATTGGTAAGCCCTGTCTGCTTTTCTTCTTTCTTCGACAAGTCCACAACAAACATTTGAGATATCTATAAGCTGTACCATTTTCCTTCATTTTTATTTTAAAATATATAATTAGATTTTCTCAAGGGTGATAAAGAAATTGCATAATTTAAAACAATGTCACTTGTTATGAATATGGCAACTGTAAATAACCTTTTGCATCATCTTTGGTGCCTAATAAGATGAAGAGGAAACTGTTACTGATACACCCACTTCTGCAGAGAATCAACATCAGTCAGACAAGAAGCTACTACTTCTTGGAAGAAAAGAATCAGAAACAGAAGAATCATTGGAAGAAGGAACCATATGTGATATAGAATGTGGTGAGTTGACAATTGAGAAGTTGAAATCAGCACTGAAAGCTGAAAGGAAGGCTTTAAATAGTCTATATGATGAACTTGAAGAAGAGAGGAGTGCATCTGCGATTGCGGCAAATCAAACAATGGCAATGATAAATAGGCTTCAGGAAGAGAAAGCGGCAATGCGGATGGAAGCTTTGCAGTATGAGAGGATGATGGAAGAACAATCTGAGTATGACCAAGAAGCTTTGCAACTTTTGAACGAACTCATGATAAAGAGGGAGAAAGAGAATCATGAGCTAGAAAAGGAGCTTGAAATATATCAAAAAAAGGTTCATGAATATGAGGTTAGGGAAAAGATGATGATGTCAAGAAGAGAAACTAATATAAGAAGCAGAATTTCTCCTCCCTCTTGTAGCAATGCTAGAGATAGTGATGAACTACCTATTGATTTGAGTCGACACACAAGCGAAGAAAATGGTATTTATGGCCGTCAAGAATTCAGAACCCAGAACACTTCCGAAGATGTTATATATTTGGAGGACTCAGTGGCAAATTTGGACGAAGAGAGGTTATTCATTCTAGAACAAGTGAAGATGCTGGAAGAAAAGCTTGTTATATTGAATTATGAAGAAGAGTATTTTGATGGAATTAAATCAGCAGCACATCTTTGTGAAGAGAATGGAAATAGATACCAAGACAGTATTGATTGCATAGGTCATGTAAATGGATTAGCAAATGGTAAGCATCATGATGGAACGGAAACAATGTGTACAATAGCCAAGAGGGTTCTCCCACTCTTTGATGAAACTGGCACAGAAGCAGAAAACGGGGTCATGAGTAATGGTTTAGATTTTACTTCCTTGCAAAATAGTTCAGATGAAAAGCTCCAATTAGAGAAGAAAAAGCTTGATGTAGAAGTAAAGGTGGATCATGTTTATGAGAGACTCCAAGCTCTAGAGGCAGATAAAGAATTTTTAAAGCACTGTATCATCTCCTTAGGGAAAGGGGACGAGGGGTTAGATATTATCCAAGAAATTTTGCAGCAACTTCGTGATCTTAGGAATGTGGAACTCAGAATCATGAACATGGGAGATTTTGCTGTGCAACAACTCTACTCAGTTATTTCAAAAAGATAAATTGGTAAGACACTTAGCATTCTGCATTAGAATAATAATTTAATAAACCTCTATGGTTTATCATTTAAGAGAGTATTTATTGATGTATTGAGGCCTTGCTAATAGTAGCTATATATCACATATATGTTATGTTGGAAATGATGTAGAAACTGGAAATCAAGCATGCTTACACATGCACCACTTTTGTCCCTACATAGATATGGGCAGCGGATATCAATGCATCACATCAACTTAACCTAATAATTGAAAGTTACTTTGATGGAGAGAGAAGAATCACGGTATGGTCAAGTTGACACAATGGTCATAAACAAAACTAACTTTTGTGGACTATGTCCATCATCTCCTTTATGGAAAAAGGATGACAATATGTATACTTGTATGTATATGCCTAGGCTAGTAAGGTGAAGCCACCCTGGCTGGCACTTGTATTTTATGAGGAAAGGCCAGGCTAGCAAAGCTGGAGAAATCCAACTAAGATTCTTGGGCAGGCTCCATGATTAATTTTACTAGACAGACAGAATGAGGTCCACTGGTTTTGTCAATTTTTTAAGCTTTTGAGGGGAAGAGAGAAGGGAATAAAGAGGTGAATAGCCTCAACCTTTTGCCCTTTCTCATCTTTTGCATTATTGCATCTTAGAGATTTGTTTGTTTCTAAGCGGGAAAAAGGTGAGTCACTTCACTTCCTACCAAAGTAAATGTATCGAAAACGATACTTTGACAACCGGAAAAAAAATATTTGTTCGATAACTGGGGCCAAAAATAAATTAATTAAAAATAAGGGTTTGATTAGTAAAATTGTAAGGGGTCAGAGATGTAATATTGTAAAAATGGGGGATGTTATGGTAAAAAGTGAAATATATGTTTGAAGAAGGTACAGTATTTTTCGCTTGACACATTCTCGCTTGACTTCTTCTTGCTCGACTTAGGGTAAATTTTCGCTTGTCTTCTCCGTCTCGCTCTTCACGGCGCTGGACTTCCTCTCGCTTGTCTTCCTCCGTGTCGTTGGAGCTGAACATCACTGTCTGTCGCTTGAGCGACCCTGCGGTGAGTGTTGGTTTAACAACATTTGCTTGATTTTGTGTGTATTTTTTATTGGGTTTCCATTGTTGTTTTCTTTTCTGTTTATCTTTGATTGGGTTTGTAATGAAGGTGTTTTTCACGGTTTAGGATTAATTGAGTTGTGATGCTATATTAATGTCGAACAAGTGTTTGATGAAATGCTATAATGAAGAATTGTATTTGCGCATTCTTGCTTTGTTTTCTGTTTATCTTTGATTGGGTTTGTAATGAAAGTATTCTGTAGGGTTTAGGGTTAATTGAGTTGTGATGCTATATTAATGTCCAACAAGTGTTTGATGAAATGCTACAATGAAGAATTGTATTTGCATGACAAACAACTCGAATTAGGAATCCTATATTAAAAGTACTTATTCATGTGACTTGCAACAACTTTTATCGGACCAGCGCATATGGAGATCTAAAACAGAAGAAAATAAAAAAAGGATTATTCAACTTGAACGTGAAGTTAAAATTTTGAAAGAACAAATCGGGATTCACATGAATAAGTCATCGATAAAGGCGAAGGGGATTGGTGAGGATGATGACATGTATCAATTGTATAAGTTTTGCACCACCAACCTTGATAATCCAAACCGGTTAGTATATAATCAAATTTATTACATTCATTCAATTTAATTAGTATAAAATGCAATGTAATCCATTATTGTATTTCAGTGTTGTAGTGGAAGTGCATGGGCAGATATTGACTATGCAGAACTTGCAGACATTAAAGCCAAGGGGTCATATTGACAATATGGTAAGTTTGTTTATTTAATGAAAAAGTGTAATTCAATATATTTTTAAAAATTATATTTATTAATATCATATGGGTTGTTAGGTGATGTTGTTTGCAAGTAGTGTAATGATGTATGACCAAATGAATGTCACTGGTGGCGGCATTCGACGTTTTTGTTTCAATCCTTTGTTTGCGGTATGTTTATTGTGCATTTAAAAAGTTAAGTTGCACATAGGTATATTATCATTGATTGTCATTTATTTTTGTGCCTTTTGATAGACACAAGTGATTGAACAAATGTATATTCGCAAAGGGAAAACATCGACGTGGACAATGAAAGACTTCTCACTTTTCTATCCAAATACAATTATTCCATTGCATCAGTTATTGAGTTGTGAACTTGTGAGTATTTATACTTTGCCTAAAATTTATATTTTTGTCAAGATAAAATTCAATTAACCAGAGTTTTTTCTATTTCAGATTTTTGCTCCCACTGTACACAATGGTCATTGGTGGTGTTATGTGCTGAAATGTAAGGATGGAGAATTGTTTATATTAGATTCATTGGGCCATGATAATAGATCACGAAAACCAATTGATAGAACTATGGTAAATATTTGTTTTAAGTTGTTTACGTAGGTAATATAGTTAATTCAGAGCTGTGTTTATTTGGCGAATAATGTAATATTGTGAACAGTTGCAATGTTTTGAACATCTATTGTCGTTGTTGGAAACAAAGTCATCGAGGACCACTGGAGAACTTAAGGTTACAAAGGAGGACTTGTCAATTCGACCAAACATGTTAGTATGTTATTATAGTTGAAATTTTGTTTGCAAAATGTTGTATGTAATGTGTGTAATAACTACATTCAATTGTGCAGGTATGATTGTGGATTGTTTGTTTTAAAATATATAGAGTTGTGGGATGGTGTGAACAAAGTGAATGGGAAAAGCATGCCTCATTACACATCGGTAAACATTAAATTCATTGTGTTATTGCTTTGTTTTTTATTACTATGAATATAATTTATTATGACATTCTTCATATTGTACAGGAGCAAGTTCAGAAATTTCGAGAAGAATATGTATGCAGATGGGTACTTCATCCTCAAAATCTTCATCGGCAAGTCATGGTTATTGAATCAGGAGTTAACATCCTCATCTAGGAATAGAAATGTAGATATTGTATTTGATTATTTGTTCATCTTCATTGATGAATGTTGTACAGTTTATTCATATGTAATATAATTGTTAAGTTGGTTATGGATCATTTAAATGTTAAATATTATGACATTAACAAGTGACTGATTTTTGGACCATGGTTACTATTTTTTGTATCATTTTTTTTATTTTGACAATTACATTATTGATTGGGTTTTACCATCCCAGTTGCACAATATCCCTATTCAGATGATGCAGACTATCTCCATGTAACAGAGAGTGTATATTGAGAACCACAGTTGTACAAAATACATGTAATTACTACCAGATTTATATGTTACGAACATATGAAGATGAAGATGCTCCTGTATAGTATTAACTGTTAAAGGGCATGTTGGATTAGTTGATAAGGGTAGAACTATCCTCATACCACATGCTTGGATGATATATGGAGCTTGGCCACCACCCACTCTTACTGCTCAAGTAAACATCATAGTAACATCAACAATCGGCCAACTATAACTTAGTTCCACAAAACAAAATGGTCATTAATTTCCATTTGAATTTCTGATGGCAAGATGTTGATATGTAATATAAAAGAAGAAATTCAGATTAAAAGAACAAGGGAAGAGAACAATATAAACTAGCATATGGAAATTGTACAAGTGATAAGAATTATTGTACGAAAGATGTATATGTTTACGTATCATCTTTGTACATAACAGATAACTTCATGCTTAATAGTTGTAAAGAATGCGCTTAACAACAAACAAATTGAAATTTGCATGTCACGTCTCATTCAAGTTCAGCCTTGGCCACAGACGAAATGTCCAATGCAGTTAGCCACATACTGTAACATGGATAACCACATATTTGAATCACTTGCAGCTCGACCGAGAATAACGTCGCTTGACCGAGAAACAACCCGAGAGTCCCTATTTTTTGTAAGGGTACCTCGCTCTAGCGATGGACTTCTCGCTTGAGCTAGTGTTGGCCGTAGACGACACGTCCAACGTAGGTAACCACATAATATCACATGGGTCACCAAATATTCGACTCACTTGTCGCTCAAGCGATTATACTGTCGCTTGAGCGAGATAGAACCCGAGAGTCTTCATTGTTTGAAGGTATCGTCGCTCGAGCGACTAACTCCTAGCTTGAGCGACTGTTGACCTACGAGGAAACGTCCAATGCAGTTAGCCATATAATATAACTTGGTTGACCACATATAAGAATCACTTGTCGCTAAAGCGAGTACACTGTCGCTTTAGCGAGACAGAACCCGAGAGTCCCCCTTGTTTGAAGGCTTCGTCGCTCAAGCGATGACTTTGTCGCTTGAGCGAGTGTTGACCCAATGACGAAACGTCAAACCCAGTTAGCCAAATAATATAACTTGGTTCACCACATATTAGAATCAGTTGTCGCTCAAGCGTTCATAAAGTCGCTTGAGCGAGACAGAACCCGAGGGTCCCCATTTGTTAAGGTTCCATCGCTCAAGCGATGTCATCCTCGCTTGAGCGACTATTGAATCACAGACGAAAGGTCCTACCCAGTTAGCCATTTAATATAACTTCGTTCACCACATATAAGATTCAACTGTCGCTCAAGCGATTAAATAGTCGCTTGAGCGAGACTGAACCCACCATCGAAACATCCAACGCAGTTAGCCATATAACTCGGTTTACCGCATATAAGAATCACGTGTCGCTCAAGCTATGATAACGTCGCTTGAGCGAGACAGAACCTGAGAATCCCCAATTTTTCCAGGTGTCCTCGCTCAAGGGATGTGTTTTTCGCTTGAGCGACCTTAGATAGCGGCTATTAAGAACCACTTTTAAAGATATATAAGATAGCGTTTAGCCGTAAACGGTTGTCTAACGTATGTTTATAATAGCGGTTTTTTTATAACCGCTTCCTTATATCATACTTTTAAAGAGCGGTTGACCCGTGGAACGCTATAATAAATGTAGTTTAGATAGCGGTTGACCAAATAACCGCTATCTAAAGTCATATATGTCAAAGTGATAGACTATAATTGGATAAT